TAAAGAACATGGTATTTTGAGGCATAAAACTGTCACCTAGACTTCTAAACAAAATGGAATAGTTGAAAAAATGAATATAACTCTATTAAATAAAGTTCGATGTATGCTTTTGATGGTTTGCCTAACTGGGGTGAAGCTATTAAAGCTGCAGCATATCTTGTTAATAGAAGTCCTATCAAAACTTTAAATTTTGAAATACCTGAATCTATTTGGTCTAATAGTTCTGTGAATTATTCTCACTTATAGGTGTTTGGTTATGCTGCATATGCTCATCAAAACATCGAAAAATTAGAACCTATAACACTTAAATGTGTTTTCTTGAATTATGATGAACATGTTAAAGGTTGAGATTTTGTGCAAAATGTGAAAAGTGGTATAGAGTCATTGTTAGAAAAGATGTTATTTTCAATGAATTTTTAATGCCATGTTTAGAGAAAAAGAAAATGTATTGACTGATAAATATGTTCAAATTGAGATGGAGTCTTCTCAAATTGAGCAAGACACTCATGTACCTGTAGCAGATGAAATTGGTCTTGAACCTAAAACTAAAAATGATCAAGAAGTTGATCAATCTGACCAATCTGATCATACTACTCTTCCATTCTATGAGTATCAACTCACAAGAGATATGGAGACGAGGCAGATCAAACCTTCTACTAGATTTGACAGTGATGATTTTGTTTCCTTTTTCACTTATCAAGAACGGTTTGAAAATGAGTCAAACTCATATGATGATGCCATTAAGTGTAAATAAAGTAAAAACTGGATAGCAACCATGAAAGATGAAATGTCTTCACTTCTTAAAAATAAAATTTGGGAACTTATTAAAAGACCTAAAGGGCATAAACTGATTGACTGTAAGTGGATCTATAAAATAAAATAAGGAGATGGAGATGGAGATGGAGATGGTAAAAACATTAGATTTAAAGCTAGACTTATTGCAAAATGTTTTACTCAAAAAGAAGGTATTGATTATACTGAATTTTTTTCTCATGTTGTGAAATATACTATTGTTAGATGCTTGCTTGCACTTGTTGCTCAATTTAAATGGAAACTTGATCAATTAGATGTTAAAACTACTTTATTGTATGGTGACCTAGATGAAATAATTTACATGAGGTAGCCTACTGATTTTGAAATAGGAGATCCTGATAATATTGTTTGTCTATTAAAGAGATCCTTATATGGTTTAAAACAAACTCTTAGACAATTGTACAAAAGATTTGATACATTTTTTATAAAACTTAGTTTTAAAAGAATTCAATATGACACCTGTCTATACTGTAAAGGTGATGGAGGTAAAAATTCTATGTATTTAGTTCTTTATGTAGATGATATGCTGCTTGCCAGTTGTGATAAGTCTGAATTAATAATATTAAATTGAAATTGAAATCTAAATTTAAAATGAAAAATCTTAGTTCTGCTAAAAAGATATTAGGCGTACAGATTTGGAGAAAGAAAGAAGAGAACTTCCTATTTTTGAATCAACATGATTATGTGGTTAAAGTTTTGAAAAAATTTAACATGCAAGATTGTAAACCTGTAACATTACCTCTTGCTAATCATTCTAAGCTATCTTCTAAATATTGTCCTAAATATGAAGATGAATATGCAAAAATGTCTAAAGTTCCTTGTGTAAATACTATTGGTTTTGTCATGTATTTGATGATTTGTACTAGACCTGATTTTGCATTTAGTATTAGCATATTAAGCAGATTTATGGGTAACCCTGGGTAAAAGCATTGGAATGCTTTAAAATGGTTATTAAGATATCTTAAAAGTACACCTAACTTAGGTTTAATGTTTAAATTAAGTAAAGATGGTGTTACTTTAAAGAGATATACAGATTCTGATTATGCTATAGATAAAGCTAATAGGAGATCAATTTCATCATATTTTTATACCTTATGTGATACAGCTGTTAGCTGGAAATCTCAACTTCAAAAAGTTGTTGCTCTATCTTCTATAGAGGCAGAATATATTGCTTCTACTGATATTGTAAAAGAAGGAATGTGGTTAAATGGTTTATTGTCTGAACTTGGCTTTGTTGATAATCATGCTTTATTGTTATCTGATAATCAAAGTGCTATTCATCTTAACAAAAATACTATGCTTCATGATAGAACAAAACATATTGATATTAAATATCATTTTATAAAAGATGTTATTTAAAAAAAAATTCTTAGAATTGGCAAAGTTACAACTCAGCTTAATCCATCTAATATGGGTACAAAAGTGATTCCTTTAAATAAATTTTTAAATTGTTTGAAACTTATATCTATTGATTCTTTGTAATGCATGTACATGTATTTAGAGCAAATGAAAAGTGAAATTGTGATTATGCTCTTCTCTGCATTATATTTCCAAATTCTGGTAGCAAGGTGGAGAATGTGAGATTCGAACCCTGGTCCGAATTGGTGCTTCCAAAATTTGTGTTGAAGTCGTGTTTCTGGATATTTCAACTTTATTAATAATGCACCTTTAACCGGTTGAGGCACGTGGTTACATCTTGGCCGTTGTTTTTGCTTCTGGATGCTTCTATTATTTGTGTCGTTTCACTTGGCATGCAGTTTTAAGGGTTTTCATTCTCTGGTTGTGGTTTGAAGGAAGCTCTCTCATCTAGGGTTCTCTCTTCTATTTTTCTTTTTCTCAAATTTCTAATTTGAGACTTTCGATCTATAATTTTTAGCCCCTGTTTAGTGATATTCTGAGTTAATATTTGTAAGAGAGTTTGAGCTCTCTCGAGTTACTGTTTTCAGTGGGTTTGTGAAGATTCTTGGTGATTCTTTGTGGATCGATCGTTGTGTCTTTGAGAGATAAGTATTCTTGTACTATTTCAGAGTATTGGCTAAACATTAGTAACCTTCATTGTCATTTTGGGCTATATAATGGAACCGAGTATAAATCCAATTTATTGGATGCACAACGAGGGATGTAGGCGTTAGAAGTGGTCGTCGAACCTCCGTGGCTTAGGCCGAAAGAAATCGCTTGTATTATCTTTAATTTCTACACTCTTTATTTTCTGAGAGATCGTTTTATTGTTGCTTCTCAATGTTAATATTGTGTTTTCCTGGCCTTACATCATCTTTACCTCGATCATAAGATGGTGATAGCCGACAATACAACACTTTTTGCAGTGCTTCCTTATTGAAAATAACTGCTTTTTCGATAATGTTCTAGTGGTGGGTGTTGGAATATCAAGTGCTTTTGTTTTGTACATAATAGTGTTGGTACTTTTGGAGTTGTGTCTGTGGGAAGAGAATTAGCAGAGAAAAATGGTTGTAATAAGGCCATGTTTGCCTCCAAGATGGAATGGAATCATTTGAGAGAGAAGAAAATTCAAAGATAAAGAATGTTAAGATTAAGATTTGAGATTTCATTTCAAAAGATCAATCTTATTAATAGGTGTAGTTCAAGCCCCTATATGTTGATCTATATTTTAGTATTTAACCGATATAAGATTTATCCCTTAACAGGAAGGCTCTACTTGTTGGCTTGATGCACTATGGCCACAACAATGCCAAGAAAACTAAAAATAGAAATTTTTGATAAAGATCATTGCCTAAGATCCTAAACCCTCTTAAAATCTTTTATTCACACTATACGCGCCGATACTTCAATGCCCATTAAGAGAAAATATATATTTTTCAGAACATAATGTCTCGCTATCAATTCGAACAATGGTATGTAAAAGAGTCGTAAACGAGTCACTTCTCATGATATAACGAGGAAAAGATCAATTATGAGGAAAAATAAATATTTATTGGTTGCAATAATGCAGAAAACTAATTTCTGTTCAAATAATTTATCTGTGAAAGGAGAAGATACAAATGGTGGGAGAAACTAGAAAAACTCAGGAAATATTTACATTAACTCATTCCCTTTCAGTCGGCATATTCACAATTTAAATCTGAAATGTTCCATCATTTGATAGATCAAACGTTTAATTATATGATTGTTACCGGCAAATATAAACCATGTTGAATTAAATGAAATCTTTTTCAATTTCAATCATAAAGGAAAAATAAAATCAGTAGTCCTAATTGATGAGCAATGCAAAGTTCCAAGTGCTTGTCCGTCAAACAATACGCATGCAGCCTATGTATGAACAAAAAATGTAGCTTAAAAATTTTTCGTTTATTATTGTAAGGTGTCCAAAATTACCATTTTGTCATAGATACAGTGTTTGATTTTCCGTATCATTCAAGAGAGCCAAGATAATTTAATGCAAGGCAAATCTTTATAATTCTAACGTGTAAAAAATACAAAACCAGATATAATGTTCTGTCAAGTAGAGTTTAGAACTGAAAGACTATTTGCCAAATCTAAAAACTTGTATCTGCTGGAAAAGTAACTAAACAAACCTCTGATCACTGCTTACAATCTTCTGTGCGTTCTGATGAAGTTTGTTGTATTCATAGCGATTGCAGTTGAACATATGTGGATTCCGGCTAAGCATATAGTTGTAGAGAACAGAAGTAGGGCCTTCCACTGTCGTCCGGATACTAGAATGGCCAGTGCTGTTGATACAAGAGCAACAATAGAGAGGGCATTTTTCCAAGCCTGAAAAGCTTTAAGAACACTCCTGCAATCCTTGCAATGAATTAAGTGTCGAAAATATCTGTTGGCAAGATTTGGAGCATGCATATCCCCTATCCCTCCCTTTGCCGGCTGGGAGGCGGAAAGATTGGCAACAAAACCTGCTGGAGCATGCTCGACTACAGCCGGATCTTTTGGTAGTGAAATTGTGCTATGCCCGATGTGATAAGGCATTCCATTCCCGACTCTGTCCATCCACTTCCTGTACTCAACTACCCATGTGTCTGATGACTTCAAATTGATGTACAGTTCTCTTGTGGGAACTTTTTCTTTCATAAGAATTTCATTCTGGGATGAAAGGAATCCCATATCTTGCTCAAAAACCTTACTCGCATTCTGATGAAAGTACCACTGTGGAAAGATTTTTAAGAGCACTGGTGGTGGTCTAGTATTCCCGAACCTCACAATAAGCATGGATTTTCCTTGGCCGGACGGTCTACAAAGGAACAGACCAGAAAAGTAGTCCTTATTGTTATTCTTGTCAATGATTTCCCTACTGTTATGAAGTACACATGGTGCTTCAAAACGTAAAAAGTTCGGTATGTAGTTTGGCGTCAACTGATCTTTTTCTCGACCCCACCAACCTGCAAAGCCTCGAGCTGTTCTTTCAGTCACTTCGAAAAATAGTGCTGTCGCATCTTCTCTTTTTGCAGTAAAATCTGTTCTATCGTGTGAGATAGGAACGTGGGCAGGATCCATGAGGTTTTCTAAGAGAATAGAGTGATCGTACGGAAGTTCATGAATTGTTGAAATATCTCGAAAACCTGGCTTCGCGAAGTTTTCAAACCAAGGTATTTTCTTAGCATTTGATGGCGTCTTGTGAGACATCCATATCCATATAACTCCTTGAGAATCCCTCACTTCATATGGTTTTAAACAAGCTGATAGTGGAATTTTTGCACCCGTCGGGAGCTGTCCCAAAAATCATGAGAAAAAAAATATTGTTCAATTTATCTAGTATGAAATGATGAATGCCACGAGGAAGAAGCATTAAATTCAGACCTGAGGGATTGTCACACATTTACCACTGCCGTCATATTGCCAACCATGGTACAGACATTCCAGTCTCCCATCAAACAATTGACCTTCAGAAAGTTTTGCCAACCTATATTTGGAAATATTTACAGAATATAATCAGATAGTTTCCATTAGGTTGAAGAACTCTAATAAACGTTATGTAACTCAGATAGGTACAGTTTCATGGAGAAACAAGAAAGAATTCATTTCTGATTGTAAAGGTTAAAAAATCAAATCTGAAGAACTATGAGCTATAAAGCAGGAAAACATTTCTGCTAATAATAGATGGAGTCTTCTCTTGTAAAGCCATTGAAAGAACAGTCTTCCTGTCAAATGACTGGTTATTTTTCCATAAATCTGTGTATCCTCTCCATAATTTTTCCATAAGTCTTTCAAAGATGCACGTACGAATTCTTAAACCAGAATTTATAGTGCAATCTCATCTCACTAAACCTTTTTGAGTTCAAATTGGTCACTCGACTTGTGCAATTGCCTCACGTTGGTCACTCGATTCACTTGGGTTAGTAAAACTAACTGGAAAAGTCCTACGGGCTGTTAAACACTAACCGAATGCTGATTCGAGTCTGGTATGACAATAAATGTCGTGATTGTTTTAATCAAGTCACTCAACGTCCATGAATCCAGTGGAACTATCATTACATGCCTAAATTGTTTAATCCACTTTTCATTTTTCCGAAATCCATCAGTCAAGCATAATTGGCTAGGAGTTTGATGCCAGAATATATCATATTAACTAGGATTCAATTATAAGACATTCAAAATGTGGTTCTAATTAGGAACCTTAAAATTACTTACAAAGTTCACATGAATTAAACAGATATCCCATATTAATTCAAGATTCCTCACTCTGATTTCTTGAATTAAGTATGATTAACAAAGTCACATTCAAAATATGCAATTTTTCAGACAAAATTAACTACAAAAGAGGCACAAACAAATTGTTCCTGATAAAACCCCAATGGAGATGGACCCAAAAGAACGTACCATCAACTCGATCCGTCTAAATCTCGAACAAATAAACCACCATTTGCGGAGAGATTTAAGGGTAAATTCCCAATAAAGCAGATATAAGAATCTAAACAGGATTACCTATGAGGGCATCGATCTTCAAAACACAGAATCTCTCCATTGCCATCACGATAAAGAACAACCTGCTTGTCAAACACAGTAAGACCCAATGGAGCATCATCTGGTACATTCTTGGTGAGATAAAGAGGGTACCATTCTTCTGTCCAATCATATTCCGCCACTTCATCTTGACTAGATGGACTCAAAATCACACTCTCACCTTGCTCATCATCTGATGATGCAGATGATGATAGCCCACCAATAATCTCCTCAGCAACTGCATGGCACTTTTTCCAGTGCTTCCTCACTGAAAAATAACTCTTTTTATGATTATGTTTTTCTGAACGGGATACTAAATCCTTTGATTTTGTGGGTACTAGATTTGTTACTTTTGGAGTGGTGCATGTGGGTGAGAAGTTGAGGATCTTGGGCAGAGATTTATCACAGAAAAATGGCTGTAATATGGCCATGTCTGAAGAAGAAGAAGAAAACAGAAATGGAATCAAAGAAAGAAAATTGTAAAGTTCAAGAATGTGAAGGGTGTTGTTACTTGTTGGGGTGGTACATTGATTATAGCCACACAATGCAAATAAGACTACATAATGCAAATGAAAATTTCTATAGAAGCCCCCCCTTTTTTTATTTGATATCAAGTCCCTATTTGGTGCACATTTATTTTTCAAGAATGCATTTTTTTATGTGATGGGGGATATGTGGTTAAAAAAAAAGAAAAAACTATTGATGTGATAAAATATTATTTTATTGAAAATGTGTGGTTGAAAATGAGTAGAAAAATGTGAATGAAAAAATAATGTGACTCAAACAGGAAGCCAAGTATAATATTATAAAGAGTAATTAGCATATAACGTTTCCATCTTTCATGTTATTGTGAATAACGTCTATATCCTTTATTTTTTGACATTTTCACCCTTATTAGTTATTTCCCTCTTTCATTGCACAAAATGTCATTTTCACTTATTTTTTCAATTAAAAATTATGAAATGACGAATATACCTCATCTTTAAATAAAATAAAAAGAAAAAAGAAAAAAATTAATTGCAACTACAGTTCCAATTTTTTTTAAAAAGCGCAAATAAGTCACAAATAAATTATTAAAATGATAATTAGTACATAATATCTCTATCTTTTACCGTATTATGAAAAATGTCCATACCTTTCTTTTTCTTTTTTTGCCATTTTCACCCTTAATTACACATTTGATTGCGCAAACCACAATTTCTATCCATTTTCATCCAATTTCTCAATAAAAAGACGTGAAATAACGAATATAACCTCTTATTTAAATAAAAAACTAAATAATTAATTACAATCATAATCCCAGTTTTTTTATAAAAAAAATTCAAACAAGTCCCCAATTAATTATTAAAAATTTTAATTTTTTTAAAAAGTGCAAACGAGTCCCAATTAAATTTATTTAAGAATTAAAAAAATTAAAAAATGCAAACGACTCACAAATAAATTATTAAAGAATTAGAAATTAAAAAATATTTTTTTATTTATATATGAGGGTATATTCATTATTTCACATTTTTTTATTGAAAAATTGGATGAAAATGGATGGAAATGATGATTTGCACAATCAAATGTGTATTTAAAGGTGAAAATGTAAAAAAATGGAATGAAATGACATTTTTCACAATAACGTAGAAAGATATGAACATTATGTACTAATTACCATTTTAATAATTTATTTGTGACTTATTTGCGTCTTTTAAAAAAAACTTGGACTGTGATTGCAATTAGTTTTTTTAAAAAAATTTAAAGAGATGTGTATATTTGTCAGTTCATAATTTTTAATTGAGAAAATAGGTGAAAAAGACATTTTGCTCAATAAAATGTGAAAATAAGAGTGAAAATGCCAAAAAATGAAAGGTATGAATGTTTTTCACAATAACAAGGAAAAGTGGAGACGTTATGTGCTAATAACCCTATTATAAAATTCAAAACGTAATTTGTGGACTATATTGTTCACAATTTAAATAGCGTAATGGGCACAAACCCCTCCTATTCTTTGTCTCTATTGCAAAATACTCTCTATTTTTTTGTTTTAATTAAAAATTCCCCTTTTTTTTTTTTTTTTTGCGAAATACAGCATTTTCTTCAATTTTCTTAATAAAGCCTTGCGGGAGTGGAAGCAGACATTTTGAGTTGAGAGCACAATCAAACTTGCAAAAAAATTGTGAAAAAATAAAAGCATTCGATATGCAATAGAATGGTTCAATAGGATGCTTAATAAATAAAAATAAAATGCTTGAAAGAAATATTATCGCTAGATATGGAAAACCAAAGCATCTCCATTCGAGTCTAACATACGAGATGACTCATCAACATTCAAACATTTCAAAATCAACTGCAAAAAAAAGGAGAGGAGGAAGAAAAAGAATACTGAAATTGAATAGAATGGGTTTTGATTTTCCAAGGGAAGGGCTTTGATTTTCCAATTTGGACACTAAGTGTGGAAATATGATTATATATATATAAGAAATCATTTTTGGAAGTTGATGGATTATGTGACCCACCAGAACTCACTGTGGGTCCGTCACTGAAGCCTTGTGAAATGATTAATATATCTTCATCTTTAAATAAAAGAAGGAAAAATAAACCGCAACTGTAGTCTCAATTTTTTTGTTAAAAAATGCAAACGAGTCATAAATAAATAATAAAAAATTAAATGGACATATAAGTTAGTTTTTATATTTTATTTAAAATATTAAACAAATAAATATTTTTTTACTATATTTTATTTCTTTTATTTATAATATTATCAACGTATAATTTAATTTTAATTTTCTATTTCATCTTCAATGAATTTATTGTAATTAATATATATTATATGTATTTAAATCAAACGGACAACAACAATATCATTGATTATATTATCGACTATTATCAATATTTTTTTGATAAAAAGAGAGAACCTTGTGTCTGTAACATTAATGACTTCTTCATTGACCATTAGTGATCAAAGAACTATTGACAATTGTCGATAATATAATTGATGATATGTCGTTGTTCATTTGATTTATATACATATAATATATACTAATTACAATAAATCTATTGAAAATGAAAACTAACTTATATGTCGATAATATTATAAATAAAAGAAATAAAATAGAGTGAAAAAATTATTTATTTTGTTTAATTTTTGAAATAAAACTAATTTATACTCCTATTCAATTTTTTAATTATTTATTTGAAACTCTTGCATTTTTTTATTTTTGAAAAAATTGGGATTGCAGTTACAATTGATTCTTTTTTTTTTCTTTTTTTTTTTTATTAAAAGAAGATAGTATATTCGTCATTTCGTAAGGCTTTATTGAGAAAATGAAGAAAAATATTGTATTCCGCAAAGAAAATGCCATCCAGGGGGTTTTGTGCCAAAATAAAATGATAGAGAGGTATTTCGCAATAGAGAGAAGGTCGGGGGTGTTTTGTGCCAATTATCTATTTAAATAGGAAAAATTAGGCCAAACTATGTATTTAACTTTCGATTTTGAGAAATTGGGTGAACTTCAAAAAATAATAATAGACCATATTAATGATTTATAGTTATTTTAATTGATTCGTCTCTAAAGTTATGGTAAATTACACATGTTTTTGTTTCCTTTTATTCTTCCCATTGATATTTTCTTCCTCATCGAAATTCTCCAAAATGGAAAGGTAACGAGTTAATTATTTTTCATTAAACTGTCATTCAAGGTCATACTGATGGAGGTCAGTCGCATTCACAGAAGAAGAGTTGCCACAATTCTAGAGGATACCAGATTAATTGCTTTATTTCATTGTTTCATATCGATAAATTTTAGGTTACAAAGTGTATGTCACAAAATTAAATATTTTTCACGAATTAAATAGACATTCAAAAATTAGGTTCGGTTCTCTTTACAATTTTCAAGTCCTTTTTTGTTTTCGATTTTCCAAAACAGTAAAAACGAGTTCTCTTTTAAAAATTTACAAAGAAAATCCAATTGTCGTTTTGAGTGTTTTCAGTTATAATCAAGTCAAAATTTTCAAAACGTGTTTTGAGTGTTTTCAAAATAGTTTTTCAAAATACCAAAAAGAACATATTTTCAACAATTTCTAATGGACACTCAAAATACAAAACCCAAAATGAATTCAAAACTCAAAATACAAAACTGAAATATAAAGATAACAGAACTAATCACAAAATACTTGTACCGTTGCAAGGTTGAGAGGAGTTTATAGAAATCACAACATACGTTAATCGTTTTGTCAACGTGCTTCAATGGCTAGCCTCAATTTTGAGTTCAATTTTCCATGTAGTCAATAAACATGTTATTGATAGACGAAATAACTAATTTGCAATAATGTCTTGACGTATTTATATAATAGGTCTCCTTTAATTTGGGAAACATACCAAATCGATTATACAACACAATCTTATAAAATTATTCATTATAACTGTAAAGTGACCGCATTTTTGCAATTTTCAGAAAAGATTGTTATTTTCTCAAAAGCTAACTTCAATGTTAGGGAGTTATCAATTATTCCCATTTAAACATCAATTGTTCAATCATTTGGTAGGTCTAACATCTCAATTTATACGAGTATGTTTGTCAAAAATTATAATTCAATATAAGTAGTGAGTTCTAAGGTATTTGTGGTTAAAAGTAAATAAAAATTGTGTAACCTACGAAATGTGTGGATGAAATAAAGTTTGATCAAATTGTAGGCAAATATAAATTTTGACAAACATGATCGTGTATGTTGGTGGGATATCTTCAAATAATAAGGGTGCGTTAGATTCGGTCCAAATTCCATGGAAAATGGAAAAAATTTTCCAGTTTTCCACTTTTCATGTGTTTGATGTGTCTTTTTTTCTAGGGAATCCATTTTCCACCTATTTATAAAAAGGTTTAGAATGCAAAGGAGAAAGGGGACTCACTTCAAAACACTGAAAAGATCCCCTATAATTGGAAAAGTGGGAAGATTGCTTGACAGTGATAGGAATCCCTTCCACTTATCTCCCTTGAATGCTCGTTGAAATCTTAAGTTGGCTCTAATTTTGTCCATTCAATTTTAGACGTCAACAGCCCCTATCAATACCGTGGTGTACACAAGAACATAAATACTCCTTCAAGAAACAATGTAGTCTAATAGCATCTACATTGTGAATCTACGAAAACAATTCAAACACTAAAGATTTATAGATCTCTATACTCGAGGTCTATACTCTGTCTTTTGAAAATGACGAAATACAAAGAAAGTTTTGAAGAGAAGGCATGCAAATGATCAAGTTTATTATGCACGAAAACAAGGGGATAAAAACATTATATTGACATAATATCAAAAAGTGTAGATAAAGTGGAAACATGAAATTTATTTATAGATTTCCACATTACCCTTCTAGTAATGTTGCAACCTTTCAATTGAATCTTTTGGTATAAAAAAGGAGCCTTTTTAGATGTTTTTGAATCAACCCGAA